AGGAACACATCCGGATGGAGCTTCTTGTTTCCTATTAGATCCAAACGTTATTAAATGGATCTGACTATGCAAATATGATTATGAAATGCATAAAACACTGGGATGCTGGCCTGTCATTTGTAGAGTCAATCTGGGTTGAGGATGTTAAACCCCTTAATTCTTGCCTTCAAATGCTCTCTGTTTCTTTGAATACTGTTTGACTCAGCACTGTTATTACCAAGACTTGTTTCCAGCCCCCTTGTTTAGTGAACCATTTTGATAACATAGGCAGTTGCTAGGTTATGAATGTTCAACTTACAGCAACTTGTACTTTAATATTATATAAAATTTCCCTTACTTTGAAATGATTGAACTAAAGCCTACTCGCAACAGATTTTTCTTCACAATCAACTTCACTTGTTGCATGTGTAGCTTTTAAAGCATTGAAAAACTTTTCAGACTTTTTTTGCACTAAACCAATCCAAACTCACTGCCATCAAGTCAATTCTGACTCAGCGACCCCCATTCTTTTTCCAAACTTGTGGATTTTTATGGAAGCAGACTTCCTCTGAGGAGTAGCCAATGGGTTCAAACTGTCAAGCTTTGCATTAGCAGCCAAATGCCTTAACCACATAAAATCAGAGTTCTTTTTCTGCACTAAAGTAAGACTAAATAAGAACTGTATGTACCTGTTCCACCTTACCTACAAATTCTTAAAGACACAATTAAGAATGGATCTCCTCCATAACCTGGGCACTGCCTGTATATCTTTCTCTTATTCTAACTTGATAAACTCCAACTCTGGTTGTATAACTCTGGTTAAGAAGTATCTAATGCGTTCTGAACTTAAGTTTTAGTTAAAAGGGTAATTGGGAATTAGACATAAAGAGAAAGTTGTAGTAACTTTCTCTTTATTTCTTTCTGTTAAAATGGTTAAGTATATTTGCCCAGTTTTTATTTTGCATGTCTCCCAGTTACTTTCTAAGTGGTTGAAAGCATTGTATTTATGGACAAATCTATGTGGATTTCAATTTTGTCAGCAAGCATTCTCGACACCACTGGTTTAGACATCATTGTAGGAGTACACAATTTTTTAGTAGAAAATTCATCAACATCTACCAATTTCTACTTGTTACAGTATTCTAATTTTAGAAATATCTGAGCTTGTATACAATGATGTTAATGAGCCACTATCTGGAATTGAAAATAAGGGAAAATAATGGTTTGACTAAATGTACCAGTTATTTCTTCATAAAATACTGTACATACATTAAAAAGAATGTTATACACCTATATGAACAAATGTGGACACAAATCATAAAATATATTATCAACTATAGTAATAGGATTCAAGCAGTGTACTAATATAAGTTTGCATATGCAAACAATTTTGGAAAAGATATACACCAAACCACTGATAATACTTAAAAAGTAAACGATCAAATTATGGAGAATTTTTGTTTTTATGTTAGTTATACTTTTGTTTCACTGTATTTCAATGAGAATGATAATTTGTAATCAGAAAATTTAAAAATGTTTATTTCTCCTTACTACAAAAGTATGGAGAAAAAGAATGATTTGATATCTAATTCCCTAAAAAAAAGTCTAACAAAGTAATAAAAAAAAAAAAAAAGTAATTTACTTAACAAGTCATGAGGCGGTTTGGAAAGCTAACTTGGTTGGTAATATGAAAGTCTAAACCAAGTAAGACAAGAATCATAAGAAAGACCCCATAGTGAAATTTCAAAGTGTGTACAAGATTCAGAATGAACTGTGTAAGTTTAAAAGTAAATTTACACAAACTACATGTAGAAGTGACTCTGAAGCTCCACCTGCTAATTTAGTAGCAATACTGGAACATAGACGTTCCTGACAGAAAAGAAGTAGATCCTGAACTCCAAAACTTATAATAAACCCTCTTTAATGCAGAAAACTTTAAAAGAAGATGGAAGGAATATAGTTGCTGTACCAAAAGTAATTGATCGACATTCAACCATTTCAAGAGGTAGAGTATTATCAAGAACCAATGGTATTAAAGGAAGAAGTCCAAGCTGCATTGAAGGAACTGGCAACATAAAGAAAACAAAAATCCTTACCACTGGACCAACCGGCAACATCAAGATAAATGGAGGAAAGATTGAAGTTGTCAGGTTTTTCATTTTACTTGGATCCACAATCAACACTCATGGAAGCAGCAGTCAAGATATCAAATGGCATATGGCTTTGGGCAAATCTGCTGCAAAAGACTTATATAGTCTGTTAAAAAGTGAAGATGTCACTTTGAAGACTAAGGTATGCCTGGCCCAAGCCATGGTATTTTCAGTAGTTCGGGTCCGATTCAATGGCACATAACAACAATAACAACAAAAACAACATATGCATAAGAAAGCCACACAATGAATAAGGAATAAGAATTGATGCATTTGAACTGTGGTGTTGTTGAACAATACTGAATATACCTTGGACTGCCATAAGAATGAAGATATCTGTCTTGGAAGAAGCACAGCCAGAATGCTCCTTAGAAGAGAGCATGTCCAGATTTCATCTCTCTCATACTTTGTTCATGATGCCAGAAGGGAGCAATCCCTGGAGAAGGATATTATGCTTGTAAAATAAAGCATCAGTGTAAAAGGGGAAGACCTCATTGAGATGGACTGACACAGGCTGCAACGATGGGCTCAGTCATAGCAAGGAATAGGATGACACGGGACTGGGCATTGTTTCATTCTCTTGTTCCTAAGGTCACTAAGAGTTGGAACCGACTTGGCACCTAACAACAACATCATAAACCCTCTATATGGAAGCTGCCTAACTTACATTAATGATGAGATCAAGACAGAATGGATTTGATTATTAAATTCCCTATGGAAAATCATTTAAAAAAAAAGGTTAGTGTCTTTTTATTCTATCTTAAATTTCTGTGAATAATTATAACCTAGACAAAAAGAATAACACTGTGCAACTAGCCTTTATGTTTTCTTTCATTGTAGATATCCAAGTGTGGATTTTGAACAGGTGAGTTCCTATGTTTATCTAGAATAAGTTTGTTATTTAAAAACAGCCAAACTGATCTCCTCAGAGTACAAAATAAATAAATAAATTTCTTCACTTTAGGAGATTTAGCTAAATACAATTTAGGATTCAAAAAGTATTTGATCTAAAAGATCCTTGAGAAACTAACCCAATGATAGTGTTGGTGGTGAGAATCAAGATGGCCTTAGAAGAAATGATTAGGTACGATTCCTGTTCTGAAGAGTAACTGCCTTATAAAGACTCCTCAACTGATGCTAATTTATTACATTTGTTTAAAAAAAAACTTCCAAAAATTAAATATGTAATCCCACATCCTTAGAGATGAATTTCTAATTTTAACCCACCATCAAAATATTTGTATTTCTAGAGTTAGGAGCCTCACTAGAGATCTGAGTCCAAGCTGAGTTGTGTTTGATGATCTATGTAGGTAGAAATTGAAATCAGAACAAAGTGTGATAGAAGAACAACCAACATAGGGTCAGTACGGACAGGTGCTCTCTGAATAGGACAGAGTATCTGGTAACAAGTGGTTCAAGTCTATACACCAGTTCCCAAGCTGCCAGAGACAGCATGCCTATTTGTTTATTTTAACATCAGTGTTTACAGACCTATTCGAATCCTAAATAAGACTTAGTATTCTTTACATGTATGCAGTTCATGTAATCCAATTTTTCAGGAATATTACCTTTGTATAATTTCCTTTTATATATTTTTTGCCTGAGGATTCACTATTTTATATTCTCCAGAATCTATTCCTATAATACACAAGCTATCATATCAAAACATTCTAAAGTATATTTAAATACTTTGAAGGAGGAAGCGGTTAAAAAAAGTATATAATGTAAGAATTGGGTGTTTTTTCTAAACTTTTTTTTTTCTTTTATTTTACAGCCTATTCATCTGGGCTTCACTTGCTACCAGAACACCTTTTGCTTTCTGCACAACCTGTTTGCCTTCTTTGACTATTGGATTCCTCAGAGTTCTGTTTTCTTCCATTGTTGGAAATTTAACATCCTCTTTTTCTGCATTTGCTGCGCCACATCTTACCATATGGAAAAGTCACTAAAGTTTCCTGACACTGATTCTTCGCCGTTTCACTGCTTACCTGCAGTATCACCTTATTAATAGCAAGCCATGCTACTGAAGATGCAAGCTTCCGCTCACTGACAGGAATTCCCAAAGGAATTAAAAAAAACTACCACAAGACTGCAACAATTTCTCTGCTTTGCCTTTAGGGAATCAATGTTTCTTTCATTAACCTTGTAGCGATTTTTTTTTTTTTCTCTTATCTTTGAAAGTAGTTGGTTCCATTAGCAGAGCAAGTTTTTATTTTCATGGCTTTATCTATATTCTCTTTTCAAAAACATCTAACTCATCTAGAATCGATGCTTCATTTCACAAGAAAAAAAAATTATTACTAAGTCAAACAATATCTTCTTGGCTCCTCCTCTGAAGCCTCAAGTTAAAACCTGTTACCCATGAATTCCTGCATTTTGCATTGTGATTCTAACACATCATTCAGAGCTTTTTTAGTCAAAAAGAAGGAATTCTTCCTCAGCTTCAGTGTTTGTGAATAAGGATTTTGCTCATCAGGGCTTTTTTCCCAATATTGAATTTTTCGTGAACAAATGATACGTAAACCATGGTAGTTTAAACAGGTGTTTACAAATATTAAGAAGCTAAATTGTTGTATGGTGTTTGTTTTTATTGTGTACAATGAATTTGTTTATGTTAAAAGCAAATTTTAGCACTTGTCTTTAGTATATTTATCTATTTTGTTATTCATGGAAAAGGGATTCACTATCATGAACACTGGGAGATTGATTAAGCATTTTCTTAGAATTGTAATAAATTAACTTTATTGAGTACTACATTTATTTATTCAGATTACCATTTTAAATAGACATGCCACAAAACTAACCTATCAACAATATGCGATATGAAAGCTACATCATATATGGCTTACCATATTCTCTTGCTGTTCTTAGAATTTCATGGGCCGTCATGGTGTCTGACCCCAGCAGAGAGAGGATTGTGTCAAGCCAATGTGACCAGATTCTACTACAATTCAAACATTGGGAAATGCCGCCCATTTAATTACAGTGGATGTGGAGGGAATGAAAATAATTTTACTTCTAAGAAAGCATGTCTTCGGGCTTGTAAAAAAGGTACAGGAGATATTTTTTCCCTTAACTCACTAGTTTCAGAATAATGAGTTTATTCATATTGTAAACGGATTTGTTTTATTAGAAATATCATGAAACAATTTTTTTTATTATTATAAGAAACAAAGTATTATGATTTAGCTAATAAATGTCTCCTTTTCAATTACATTTTGATATTATTGCTGGATATATTAATTGCACTTCCTCCTAATGCGTCATCATTGAAAAAGTATCCATTTCACAAAAATCAAATATTTTACTTTTTTATTATTTAAATACTTAGCATTTATTTTAAAGGATTATACCAAAATATTTTTAAGCTTTTGTATTATGCACAAGAATTTTAGCGTATTTGTTCATTTTTTTTAATATAAACGTGTCACATTTTATAAAATGTTAGAGTATGAAAATGTAAATAAAAATAATCTACAGCATTACCAACAATGTACAGCCATATTTTCTAGTTGTTTTAAATAAAATAATTATAAATTTCTAACTGAAGATAAACTAATAAAAGTCAACATTCTTACCATTTTTTGCTAAAACCTATATATGCAAAGTGACTTCCTTAGAAATAAGTTGTTCTACACAAAGGCATGAATAAATTAAAAATGTTTAAGTCAATCATCAGAAGGAAGATGGGGCAATCTACTTCCATGGTGATACTGCCTCAGAAACCCAAGGAGGGGTCACTATGAGTAGGAGCTGACTAGATGGCATATAACAACAATAACAACAACAAGCCAATCGTGTCTTTTAATGTAGTGGCTTCATACACTAAAAGATAACTTCCGGAAATTTTAGATAAAATGTGTTATTGTGTTATTTGATCATCATTTGTTGCTCTTCTTCTTGTAGGTTTCCTCAAAAGAATATCAAAAGGAGGATTAATGAAAACCAGAAGAAAAAGAAAGCAGCCAGTGAAGATAGTATATGACGAAATTTCTGTTAAAAATATATAAATTTCCACGCAATGTTGAATGTAAAACAAACTCTGCCCTGTAAACTTGCACTTAAAGCACAATAAAAATATATATATACATATTGTGTATAAATTGGTTTCATTATTAGAAAATTAACTCTACTAAATACTTTGAATGAAACTTGTCACTATGATTTTTATTCTTTTCTTTCCTAAAATCCTTTTAATGAGTGTTTACTTTGCAAATCGTCCCCGCCTTTAGTACATTTATATCAGAATTCCTTTTTCTAATCTAGTGAAAGTACTGATTATAGGGCTGTAATATATTAAAAGGAGGAGCCACGGTGACACAGTGATTAAGTGGTCGGCTGCTAACCGAAAGGTCGGCGGTTTGAACCCACCAGCCACTCCATGGGAGAAAGATGTAAGGATCTGTTCCAATAAAGATTTACAGCCTAGGAAACCCTATGGGGCATTTCTACTCTGTCCTATAGGGTCTCTATGAGTCGGAATCGACTGAGTGGCAATGATTTGGTTTATGGAATTTATTAACTAGTTATTCTCAATTATTTTTGTCTCTTTCTCCCTTTCTAGCTACTTGCCATTTAATGGAAAATTGTCATACATCAAATCAGACTCATAGCAATCCCTCCTTGGGTTTCCAAGGCAGTATCTCTATGGAAGTAGATTGCCTAGTCTGTCTTCCGAGGAGTGGCTGGTGGGTTTGAACTGCCAGCCTTCTGGTTAGCAGTCTAATGCCTTAGGCACTATGCCACCAGAGCTCCTTATCATACTACTGGCCACATCAATTTTTTTTTTTTTTTTTTTTCCTGTTTGGTGATTATCTATCTGAGAACGTTTTCACTAAATTGTTTTGATCATGTGTACAATGATCTCTGTTTTGATATTGTGTACAATAATCCCCTCAGATTAAAACATACAGCTGTCTAATTAAAAAAAAAACCTTTTATTTTAAAAAATGTAACAAGCATCTGCTTCTAACAAATGTAACCCAATTGTAATTTGGAGTGAGCTGGTAATAATGCAATTCTATCATGCACTTCCCAGTTTAGATACATTTTTTTTTTCTTTTGTGCTAAGGAAGACTCCCTCAATGTAGAACCAAGTGGTATCTGAACAAAGAACAGTCAATTCTGTGCTACATGTCTGCCTGATTATGATTGATTTGACTTTTGTTTAATTAACTATGGCTCATTATATAAATCAAAGTCATTGAGTATTTGTGGAAAATTGGTTGAATAGTTGAGGAAAAGTGGAAATCTGTGTAAAATTTTTAATGACAATCAAAAGGAAATTCTGTTTATGTACTTTTCATATTATTGTTTAACAAAATTTTCTCTTATCCAACATAGCAAGAATATTTAAAACCCTATTTTAATGACTAATAACCTACTTACTTAATTGTGGTAGTTAAATTTGTATGTCAACTTGGCTGGGTCTGGTTGAGTGGCTGGACAGCTGATGGTAGTTATTCCTCATGATGAGACTGGCAATCAGCTCCATGGTGGAATCTACCACAAGCAGCTGAGTAGCTGCCTTTGGGATGTGGTCTGTTTCCTGTATATAAGAAGAAGCCTTGGGCTAGTCTCTAGCTTATGGCATGCTTGGACCCTACATGTACCCGTGTCATTGTTCAGCAGCCTGCCATGCTCTGCTGACCTTGGGACTTATAATGGACTTAAATTAATGGCCTGCCATGTGGTTTGGTAACATCGGGACTGTGCCTTTTTACTTGTCAACCTTGGGCTTATTAGCCTCAGCAGCCAGTAGCTGTCTGAGCGAAGAAAAGCCTTTAGCTTCATTGGGCTGGGAGCTGGAGGCAGAGCTGAAGCCCAAGGCTGAGGGGCTTTCACCCAGCCCCCAGAGCCTGGCACTTTGAACTTGGACTTAAAACCTCCAAATTGTGAGTAATAAACTGTTTGTTAACGCCATCCCATTTGTGGTATATTCTTGTCAGAGCAGCACTAGGTCACCAAAACACTTATCATAGGCTTTGCATGAAACACAACCAGTGATTCATAAAAAAACACCCCCCCCCAAAAAAAAAAAACAAATAAATAAAAGCATGTCATTTCTATAGGAGAAAAAGTTACCAGCATGGAATATTATACATATTCATAAACTACTCACTCTTAAAGGCACAACTAACTTATCACTGGAGTTACCTGTATCTTGCTATTTCTGCTGAACCATGTGTAGTGTGGCTTCTCACCATTCTTCTACACAGTTTCTGTACTGTTATCATTGTTGTTATGTGCCATCGAGTCAGACCCAACTCATAGCAACCCCTCCTTGGGTTTCCGAGGCAGTATCGCTATGGAAGTAGATTGCCCCATCTTCCTTCTGAGGAGTGGCTGGTGGGTTTGAACCGCCAGCGTTCTGGTTATCAGTCAAGTGCCTTAGGCACTACGCTACCAGAGCTCCCAGTTTCTATACTGGTCACTTCAATTTTTATAATCAAACATGAACATGTCATGTAGAAACAATTGACCATCTCATTCATTTGGTTGACCTTCATAATTTCTTCCAATCAAGAGTATTGGGATTTTGCCTTTCTCCTAGATTTGAAAGTTTAAGCTTAATTTTCATTTCTTATTTTCCCAAACCATGCCTCATCAGTCTCCAAATCCTACTGCTTCCTTTATCATTAAATTCATTCAATTCCTAGGCTTTTTTATCCTCTAATACATTTTCACGTCAGTATTAAGAACTATTTCTGTATCTCTCCACCACTCAAAATACTTAAAAAGGCCCACTAATTGGTGCTCAAACACTCCCTGTCCCTCTAATTGAATTTTGACATACAGTTCTGGATTCACCCACACCAATCTCTTTCATGAATAATTTAGTTAAAAGAATGTATTCACTGTTCACTGAATGTTTCTTTAATCTCTCAGATAATTTCATACTTATTTCCTGTTTAGAAATCTGGTCTCCTGCAGACCACTGATCTGAAATCAGGGTCAAGCTATCGGCTAGGAAAGGTTTCAAGATACAATATGAAACATCCTAACACAAAATTACAAATAATTTCCCTTCTATGGCATAAAAATTATATCATTACAAAATAGTGCCTATTTGTCAGCTTAAGGAATATGTTATACCTTGTTGTTGTTGTTGTTATGTGCTGTCGAGTCGGCCCCGACTCATAGCGACCCCTCCTTGGGTTTCCGAGGCAGTATCACTACGGAAGTAG